TGATGGGCTTACAGTGTATCCTCATTGAGTTAAGCATGGTTCAAGTTATTTCTGCTTCCTAGTCTACATCTGCTGTAACCTGTAATAAGGATAAGTGTTTTATACATTTCTCCTATTGTTTAATAATGTTGAGGATTTTGGAAATAATTACACTCTTTTGTTTCTATCTATTTGTACAGCACCTAGAAGATTGACAAACCTGAAAGGCAAGAAATCAAATTAGTATATAAATATTTATAATCAAATCATTACATCATACTGGATAAATATTTCTCCTCTTGTACAGAAATGCTCAACGGCTGAGTAACGCAGCAGGAAGGTATATTTAATATGCAATAAGCAAACTATACATAAAAATTAACAACAAAAGATAATCGGTGTCTGATTTCCCTATCAAAATTTATTGCTAGTTTTGACATCATTTGCTCCCAGAATGTGGTACATAGAGGTATAGTCAGAACACTGATAGACATGAATAGGTCTAATCAAGTTTACAACCAACTGATTTGTATAAATAAGTACATAACTGTTATATTAAGCTTAAGCTTTTCTCATAAGCTCCACCCTTTCCAAGCTTGAACACATGATAAATTAAGAGTAAGTTATCAGGGAGGATGGTAATGAGAATTAATTAACTGTTCTGTATCCCCCCCCCTCGTCTAACTTTAGACAGATATATCTTATATTATTAAAATGGAAGAAAATGACAGAGTTGTTCATCTTAAACAGAGGTAAGTGACTGCATCCATTGATAAATTGTTGAATGTGCGACTTCTGTCCCAAGAGGCATTATCTGTAGATGTGGAAGACTACTCTCTTTTTTTTCTTATTAAGATATAATATAAGAATAAGATATGAAAATAGAAATGAAAGTTTGAGCCCATTGCTGAACAAAGTAACTTTCAGAGGAGTAGTTTATCTCTGCAGGGAGGTGGGACCAATTCGGATGGTCTGCCCCCGCCACTTAATGGATCCAAATGGTTTCCAGAGAGTGGTAGGGGATGCTTTATCCCATGTTGATGGCCTTTCAGCTGATTCCCTGGTGGCCCGCTGGAATGCGGAGTTAACCAGGGCGATCGACTGGCTGGCTCCGAAGCGCCCTCTCCGATTGCATGGAGCCCGGACAGCCCCGTGGTTTTCTTCGGAGCTGAGGGCGATGAAACAATCGCTGAGACGGCTAGAGTGGTGGCAGAAAACTCATTCGAATTGACGGACACAGGTTAGAGCTCAATGTCGAGCCTACCAAGTGGCGATAGCAATGGCGAAGAAGACTTTCTTCACCGCCTCTATGCATCTACAGAAAATAGTAGCAGGAGACTCTTTCAGGTGGTTTGCAATTTAACGGAACCACCTTTACACCGGGGCCTTGTAAAGACCCCAAGACCTCCTGCAACGATTTTCAAATTTTTATGCAGATAAAGTTGCTCATATTCGGAAGGAGGTAGACACCACCGTGGGAGCAGGGTCGGGCGGAGAGTGCTAGAGCCCTGTCTGGTCAAGTTGCATGGAATCAATTTCAATCCGTTACCCCCGAGAATGTGGACAGGCTGCTTGGATGTGAAACCAACCACCTGTCTCCTTGATCCTTGCCCATCCTGGCTAATAAAAGCAAGCCGGGAAGGGCTGGGCAATGGGCTCTGCGGGGTGGTGAATGCTTCCCTCTGTGAGGGGGCATTCCCAGACCAGCTGAAAGAGGCGGTCATTAAACCGCTTCTTAAAAAAACATCTTCAGACCCGGCCAGTATGGCCAACTATCGCCCAGCCTCAAATCTTCCATTCTTGGGCAAGGTGATTGAGGGTGGTTGCTGAACAACTCCAGGCACGCCTGGAGGATGCGGACCATTTGGATCCCTTCCAATTTGGATTCAGGTCTCCTCATGGGACTGAAACTGCCTTGGCGACTGGTTGATGACTCGATCATAACATCCTTCTGGACCGTCTGAGGGGCTGGGAGCTGGGGCACTGTTATACAGTGGTTCCGCTCCTTCCTCCTGGGCGTGTTCAGAAAGTGGTGGTGGGGGATGAGTGTTCAGACCCTTGGGCCCTCACTTGTGGGGTGCCTCAGGGTTCCGTCCTCTCCCCCATGCTTTTTTAACATTTATATGAAGCTGCTGGGAGAGATCATCAGGGGGTTTGGACTGGGTGTCCATCAATATGCAGATGATACCCAGCTCTACCTCTGTTTTAAATCAGAACCAGTGAGGGCGGTGAAGGTCCTGTGTGAGTGCCTGGAGGCGGTTGGAGGGTGGATGGCGGCTAACAGATTGAGGTTGAATCCTGACAAGACAGAAGTACTGTTTTTGGGGGACAGGGGGCGGGCTGGTGTGGAGGATTCCCTGGTCCAGAATGGGGTAACTGTGCCCCTGAAGGACCAGGTGCGTAGCCTGGGAGTCATTTTGGACTCACAGCTTCCATGGAGGCACAGGTTAATTCTGTGTCCAGGGCAGCTGTTTACCAGATCCATCTGGTACGCAGGCTGAGACCCTACCTGCCTGCGGACTGTCTCGCCAGAGTGGTGCATGCCTTGTTATCTCCCGCTTGGACTACTGCAAATGCGCTCTACGTGGGCTACCTTTGAAGGGTGACTCGGAAACTACAGCTAATCCAGAATGCGGCAGCTAGACTGGTGACTGGGGGCAGCCGCCGAAACCACATAACACCGGTCTTGAAAGACCTACATTGGCTCCCAGTACGTTTCCGAGCACAATTCAAAGTGCTGGTGTTGACCTTTAAAGCCCTAAACGGCCTCGGCACAGTATACCTGAAGGAGCGTCTCCACCCCCATCGTTCTGCCCGGACGCTGAGGTCCAGCGCTGAGGGCCTTCTGGCGGTTCCCTCATTGCGAGAAGCAAAGCTACAAGGAACCAGGCAGAGGGCCTTCTCGGTAGTGGCGCCCACCCTGTGGAACGCCCTCCCATCAGATGTCAAAACGATAAACAACTACCTGACATTCAGAAGACATCTTAAGGCAGCCCTGTTCAGGGAAGGTTTTAATGTATGATATTTAGTGTTTTTGGTTTCTATGGAAGCCGCTCAGAGTGGCTGGGGAAACCCAGCCAGATGGGCGGGGTACAAATAATAAATTATTATTATTATTATTATTATTATTATTATTATTATTATTAATCCATTGCAATACTTTACCATGCCTCAGAGATTGCAACTAGCAAACTATAATTCTGCCATTTTGATTTATTTAAAACTTTCAGATCTTTTATAACTGCAAATATGCCTATTTATACATATAATGTGAAGGGAGACTGGATTGCAGATTATCCATATATTCAGGTAAATTTATTCATATGCATCCCAATAGTTTAAGGTATTAGGAGACATGTGCCCAATTTTTTAAAAAATGGGCATGTGAAAATGGAATTTTTTTGGCGGTAAATTTTTGAAAGGGTGTGTAGAACTCAGGTAAGATTTATTTTCAGTGTCTGGAGTATCAATACTACTTGTTGAACCCAATATCTTACTCAAACTGTTCTGCATTTTGCTCCTTTTACATTTTTTAATATGTAATTGTTTTAGCTGTTTTTTATATATGGAACTGTTTTATATATATCATACTGTAAATCGCTTCAAGATCCCTTCATGAGAATGATTCAGAAATAATAATTGTGTGGGTTTTATGATGAATCACCTGGATTTGTGCAGGATGTCAAAGTTATTAACCCTGAGCTGAGCATGGTTCAGTCATTTTGTCAAGCTGTTCTATTCAACTTCATTTGATTTTTTCCTAAGGATGTGTATTATGGTCCTTGCAGGACAACTGCTATTACGGTGGATATGTAGAAGACGCCTTAGACTCTCAGGCCTTCCTCTCTACCTGCTCTGGGCTTTGGTAATAAAGATGTTTGGGGTAGAACTGAAAGAGATATACACCAACGAGCCCTAAGTTGTGAATAATTGTGCCTCTACAGCTATTCTCAGAGTAGATTTTATGCAGACTTCCCTCCCATAAGAGTTGGGTAAAGCAACTGTCTAAGTTTAATTTGGTTTTCATTTCTTGTATATGCAAACACAACGATAAGGCACTGTGGGAAGCAAGCAGTTTTTGGGACCCAAGACACACTTGTTATACCTTCAATTCTAAATACATTATACTTTCAATTCTAAGTAGCAAAATAACATCAATTCTTAAGGAACTATATGATGAAATGATTCAAATTATGAATCTTCCAAGTACGTACATGGAATGAAACCTCATAGCAATATACATAAAGTTGAATGCCACAGGCTGTTTTCCATCTTAAATGTGGATCATAAATTTTGGCAATTATAACGGCAAACAGATTAAACTATGTTATAGTGGAAGGAAGCGTATATCACACTTATACCGAAAACAGAGACTGAAAAGACTCAGCTTAAGAACTACCACCCCATATGACTGCTTAATGTGGATTATAAAATTTTTGCAGATATTTTGCAGATATTTTGACCCTAAGTCTGTCTTTTGGGTTTCCACCCCAACCCGCCAGGGGACATGTGCAAATTGGGACTTTATGCTATGAAATTGAACCTATTGAGAATTCTTCCACATTTCAACACCTTATTTATCGAAAGACTCAAGAGCACCTTGAACCGTGCAGAGGAATAATTGAAGATGGAACATATTTAGGAAGTGAAGCTGGAGAAATAAGAATAGTTGACAGTGACGGCCCAATTCCTTCTGCCATGGGAGTAAGTAGTTTTTGGTTTTGCTGAATCCATACATCAAATTGATTTCATGTACCAAATGTGGCTGGCTTAAAGGTCCTAAGCCTAAGATCCTTCTTCCCTGTTTGGGGATGTAGAAAGATATGCTCCTCACTGTTGGGGTGGGTAGAAGGGAAATGGAAAAGCGTGGTTCCCACCATCAACTTTGATAGTTTCTGCCATTCCACATGGCTGCTTGGTGGGGAATAGATATTAGTGACATCCTCTGTTGCTCTTCGAAAGAGAGTAGGGATGGTAGTCTTGACCAGGAAGGATGTGGAGTGTGAGCAGGGGCACCGACTTGCCCCCCACATTGAGGGGGCCCGGTGTCACATGACATCATATGCACAACATCATGCGCTGGGTGGGAGGTGCCAGGGGGGCCGTTGCCCTGAGCGCACAATCTGGGGAGATGCAAACCAGGCGCCCCCTGCAGAGATCCCCGTTGCACCCTGCTGAAGAGCACGGAGAGTGAAGGTGACCCTCTGTACCTCGCCCCCGCCGGCACACAAGCGCTTGCCCTTCGGCAATGGGGCGTTAGGAGCGTGGAGGGTGTGTTTGCAGGTGGGAGGCTGATCTGTTTGGGGGCCCCTCAATATTGGGGGGCTTGGCCCCCTACCCACAAATATTAAGGGGACAAAGCCCCTTCCACCCTGTATAGTATAGTTGATGCCCCTGAATATGAAAAAGGAGAAGAAGGGAGACGATAGTGTAAGTTAGGGGCACATTTGGTTATTGTATCTGCAGAAGAAACGTTTTGAAAGAGGAAGATCTCTAACACTTAACATACAAAGTTCAAAACAGTTTAAAACAACAGTTTAAATGTTTAAACTTTTTAATACTGCATTTTCAATTGTTGTAACCTGCCCTGGGAACTTTGAGTTAAGGGTATGTAATAAATCAAAATAATAATATTATTCATTTCAATCTATTGTTGCAATTTTTTGTTGCATACGATTGTACTTTTATTGTAAGGGTGATTCTTAAGTTTGGTTCTATGTAAAAGGTAAAGGTAAAGGTACCCCTGCCCATACGGGCCAGTCTTGACAGACTCTGGGGTTGTGCGCCCATCTCACTCAAGAGGCTGGGGGCCAGCGCTGTCCGCAGACACTTCCGGGTCACGTGGCCAGTGTGACAAAGCTGCATCTGGCGAGCCAGCGCAGCACACGGAAACGCCGTTTACCTTCCCGCTAGTAAGCGGTCCCTATTTATCTACTTGCACCCGGGGGTGCTTTCGAACTGCTAGGTTGGCAGGCGCTGGGACCGAGCAGTGGGAGCGCACCCCGCCACGGGGATTCGAACCGCCGACCTTTCGATCGGCAAGTCCTAGGCGCTGAGGCTTTTACCCACAGCGCCACCCGCGTCCCTTGGTTCTATGTAAGCCACCTAAATAACTTCTCTTATTGGGTTATAAATAACTAAACCAATAAATTTAACTAGGGTAAAGGATGGATGAAATAGAATTATTGGAGTAAGAGCTTCTAGCTGAATAATGGGTATAGTTGTTTTATTGTAAGGTTAATTTTAGGTGATAGGCCTGTTTAGGTTTCTTGTAAAGGAATATTCATGGTACATTTCTGCAATGAAACTTTGTTATATGTATTTTTTTTCAGTTAGATGATCTTGAATATGACCCGCCTATCAGATATCTAGAATATTTTGCTGTTGTTGACAAAAGCACGGTAAATGTTGCCATAGTAAATGTTGCCATATTTATTTACTAGCAGCCTCATATTTGGTGTTGCTCAGGAGTTCTGAGACCAAAAGATCAATGCACTTTTTAAAGGTTTGATGTCCACTGTCTTGAGTCAAAATGTATCCAATTGTATCTAAACATAGACAAAAACCTCCTAATGCAAAATTTTGTTATATATTAAGAGGTGTTCAAATGCATATCAAGCAGACCTTTCCACCTTAAAATATATGGTAGGTTTATTACCACTGTTTATATCTTGCCTTTCATGATATAAATCATGCCAAAGTGGCTTTCAAGTAACATATGTCTAGTAATACACATGCACATATACATACACTAAGGCAACAAACACCACTATTGCCTCATTACGTGAACCATCTTTTGAACACCACAACACACACTTAACTAGCTGTAAAGTAACATAAACATGATATGTAATAAAACTGTAATTTTAATCGTCATATCAAAAAGCACAGTTCCTGATGGCAACATATCATATCTTCTATATGTACAGTGGTACCTCGGGTTATAGACGCTTCAGGTTACAGATGCTTCAGGTTACAGCTCTGCTAACTCAGAAATAGTACATCGGGTTAAGAACTTTGCTTCAGGATGAGAACAGAAATTGTGCGGTGGCGGCGCAGCGGCAGCAGAAGGCCCCATTAGCTAAAGTGGTACCTCAGGTTAAGAACAGCTTCAGGTTAAGAAAAGACCTCTAGAATGAATTAAGTTCTTAACCCGAGGTACCACTGTATTGGTATCGTACAGTCCAAGGATTGTCAAGTCCAAAGATTACAATGGAGTTCCTGTTGGCAATGCCATTTCATGCTGATATCTTCCTTCTGCATCATCCAATGTCTGAAAGTGTGACAAACGGAACTGATTAGTAACAAAAGGCAGCTAATAGTAGAATAGTTCTCAGGATACACCCTTGTTTCGCCCAGCGGGCTTCTTCAGCAACACAGTTTCCAGGAAATTCCTCAGTGGGTTTTAGGGGATGCTTCTATATAAGTATAGCTTTAATGGTTATTGACATTGAGCATCTTTGACTGGCAACTTCTGCGTTCCTGGGGACCACTTTCTACTTTTGGCTGAAAAAAACCCACTGAGGAATTTCCTGGAAATCTTGTCGCTGAAGAAGCCCGATGGGCGAAACAAGGGTGTATCCTGAGAACTACGTATTCTACTATTAGCTGCCTTTTGTTACCAGTCAGTTCCATTTGTCACACTTTCAGACATAGGACGATGCAGAAGGTAGTTTTGTTTGTTACACTCTTAAGATGTAGGATGATACAGAAGGAAGATATCAGCATGAAATGGCAGTACCAACAGGAACTGCATTGTAATCTTTGGACTTGACAATCCTTGGACTGTACGATACCAATACATATAGAAGATATGATATGTTGCCATCAGGAACTGTGCTTTTTGATATGACGATTAAAATTACAGTTTTATTACATATCATGCTTATGCTGCTTTACAGCTAGTTATGTGTGTGTTGTGGTGTTCATATACATATACATATACATACACTGACACATACACCCACCCCCACACCAATCAACATAAATATTACAATCTCTTTCAAGTTTGTTTTCAGGACTACAGACTTCCAGTTAAAACATATTGAGAGTTTGAGTTATTAGGATGTGTATAGTTATCCTTGGCTAGCTAAATGGAATAATCAGGATAGTTTATTGAGGGGGAAAATTACATTACTAATTTCAATAGTTGTTGAAAGATGCATATATCCCACACCTTTTTTTATATATCGATTGTAGTTTCTAATAGTATGGAGTATTTGAATTCATTTAGAATCTTAGGTTTATGAAACTCTCAACATACGATATTTTAATGAAAATTATCCAAAGGAGTATTAATGATGAGGGAATTTGAATGCATCTGAAGAACCCAAGTCATAGTTAAACATTTTGTCTTTCCTTTTCTCTATCTCTTAGTATATTCTCAATCATCGCAATGAAACTCAGTTAGTGTTGATAATGCTTCGTATGATCTCTGATGTTCACAGTGTGAGTATATTTTATAAGACCTTTTGTGAACAGCATGTTAAACATAATCACTCTAAATGGTCACAGGGATACACAAAATATGAGATATGAAGCAAGATGGGCAGACACTATTCTCCCATGGGTTTTATATGTAAGTTTGTCAGTTAGACAAACAGAAAACTATGGGGTGAAACCCTATTATCTCAATGAATTCTTGCTTCTTTTAAAAGTCTTTTCTGTGAATCTCATGGAGAACTGATTGCTGTCCCAATAGAAAACAATTCAGATATCCAAGATTTTGGTTTAGCTTTGATCGCATCCTGACCCTGCAAATATTCTTGCGGTTTTTTGAATCAATTTAGTGGTGCCCTAGAGTTTTTTCTTATCCTTAAACTTATTGTTTATATTTTATAGTATTTTTAAATAATGTTTTTCTTTGCATATAGTAAGTGTAGCCTCAGGCCATATCCAGTCTAAATAACAAACAGGTACACTTCAGAAAACTAGAAAATTCAGGTGCGGCTTAAGCTGGAGCTAACCTCTTTTAACTACATTGTTTTCTCCAAAAAAAAGATGTGAAACGGAATGATAACTGACCAGGGAGTCTCTAATGCCTTTGTTTGTGATTGTTTTCTTGACTGATTCAGTCAAAAATGACCTATTTGAATTATTGTGCCCCAGTATTCTAAGCGTAATGTTTTGTCCTTCCATTTGTGCAAGGGGGAGGCACTTGTAGAGACAGCCTGTGAAGGTAGGGTAATTACTATTTATTATTTTTCACTTTATTTCATACCATGAATTTCAGTCGTGAAGGGCTGTTAAGGTAGCTTACAAATAAGACCATAACAAATAATTTAATAGAACATAATACAATAAAGAATTTATAGCAGTAAAATAGCATAAAATATACTGCAAACAAACACTTAAAAAGCAACAGCATTATAAAACAGAACAGCATCAGCATTCAAATTATTGAGGGATTAGGGTGATTTAGAGTACCACTATCAGGTTTTTTGGAAGAGAAGGGTTTAACAAAGAAAAAGGAAAAAAAGACAAAAGACTAAAGAACTTAACCCCAAAAGGGAATTTGAAGACAAGGGGGAAATACTACAAAGCATCAATCTCTGAACCATTGTTAGAAATATAAATTGGGAAAGCTATCTTTGAAATAGTGGGGGTGAATGAGACGGACAGAGAGAGAGAGAGAGAGAGAATGTGTTGGAAAGCGAGGAAGCAAAAGTGAGGGGAGAAAGACAAAGAGATAAGGGGGATTGTTACCTGTCCCTAATCTGTTGAAACAAATGAAGTACGGTAAGTATGCTTGGCAGCATATTACATGCAAAAATTGGACCAGCTGTTCTCAGGCTTTAGTAGGGCAACCAGAAGCAGAAGCAGAAGAACTGGGAGCATAGGTGTAGCCAGGATTTTTGTTAGGGGGGAGGACTTTGTTGGGGGGTGGCAGAACCAATGTGATTGGTCAGTTAGTTAAATATTTGTATTTTTTTACTTTATCTAGGGGGGTCAGCTGCCCCCTCTGCCCCCTGGCTATGCCCATGACTGGGAGAGCAGGCACCCCCAAACCACAGTAGGATTTTCAGTGGGCGTGAATGCAGGGTGTACACCCAGCTACAAGTTCCAAGAGTCAATCAAGCCGATTGCTCTTAATAATACATCAAACACAGGAGTGCAAAAACAATTATAACTTTAGGAAAACAAAAGTATATTAAAATTGTCTGCTGTAAAAGTAGGACCACTGGATTCAAATGGGTCGAAAGTGCCAGGGATGATTTCTGAAAATTGTTATAAAGGCTGTGTATAAGGTTTTGGTATACTTCATCGAAAACTGGCAGAGTGGTGCCTTCATAGAAATGTAGAGTTGGAAGGGACCCAAAGGGTCATTTAGTTCAAACCCTAATGTCCCATTTCCTTGACACCCAAATGCAAACAAGACATTGTTCTGCAGCATCCAAGTGCTGTGACATTTGTATCAATGTAGAAATTGAGGAGTTTAACTTATTCAAAAGGAATATACCAAACAGGAAGGGAGGAAGAGTAGCATTATATGTAAAGGTGTACACTTGAGAAGCAATTCATGACTTGGAGCATGGAGGGCAGATTGAGAGTGCATAGGTAAAAACTGTAGGAGAGGGAAATAGTGGTGTTACTGTGGGTGTCTGCTGTAGAACTCAAGCCAGGCTAAAACTTAGATGATGCCTTCCTAGAGCAGATTACCAAACATTCAAAAAGGAGAGAGATAGCAGTCATGGGAAACTTCAAGTACTCCAATATCTGTTGGAACTCAGACTCTGCCAAGAACGTAAGGTCCAACAAATTCCTCCATTGCCTTGCTGACAATTTCATTTCCCAGAAGGTGGAAGAAGCAACAAGGGGATAATCTCTCATGGACCTGGTCCTCACCAACAAGAAGGAACTGCTGGACAAAGTGGAAGCCCTGGGAACCTTGGGAGGAAGTGATAATGTTCTCTTTTTTTAAAAAAAAAAAAGAAGATATTTATTAAAGTTTAACAATTACAAAAAAAGAAAAGAAAAAGCAAGCAATAGAAAAGTTACAATACTTCAAAAATGAAAGAGAATACAATAAAAAAAAGTACAGCAGAACAATAAAAAAAGAAAAAACGAAAACATTTAAAAACAAAAACATTTTTTAAAAAACACATCCGATATTTTCATATCTTTATCTTTCATTTACTTATTTCCTCGACTTCCTCACACCTCCCTTTTTTGTATTCTAATTCAATTAGCTGTTTCAGCAAGTCCTTTCCCTCTTTCTCAGATTTTGTTCTATAATTTATCTTAACGCAGTTTGACCTTAAATTTTACACTTTGACCCATTAACAATCCATTTTTACTTAATTCTTTATAACCTTTCTGCTAAAACCATGTAAATTCATTCCAGCATCCTTCTAACATTCATTAATTTTACAATATTTCTGTAAATATACTTTAATTTTTTTCCAATCTTCTTCCACCGACTCTTCTCCCTGGTCTCGGATTCTGCCAGTCATTTCCGCCAACTCCATGTACTCCATCAGCTTCATCTGCCATTCTTCCCGGGTAGGTGGATCTTGTGTCTTCCAGGTGATAATGTTCTCTTCAGTTTCATTATACAGAGGCAAGAGAAAACTGAGTGTAGTTGGGGATGCACAGGCAGATGGAGATCCAACCTCTGCTTAAAAATCTCCAATGAAGGAGAGTCCACCACCTCCTGAGGGAGTCCGTTCCACTGTCAAGCTACTCCTACTCTCAGAAAGTTCTTCCTGATGTTTAGTGGGAATCTCCTTCCTTGTAACTTGAGTGAGAGTTGTTCTTTCTCAACAGGTCCCTTTCAACTCCACAATTCTAGGTTTCTTTGATTAATCATAGCCGTGTGGGACGGGCACTGTTCCTGACCGCCAGGCAACATTGGTGTTGGCTCTTGACACCATAACAACTATGAAAGGGAACACTGGAGGTGGTGGGCCAAAATGGAGGCACTTTGGCAACAATACTATGCGTTATAACTGCCCGATTTGGTGTTTTCTGTTTTCAGATATACTTGCCATTAGGTCTTCACCTTTATTTGGTAGGATTGGAGTTGTGGACAGAAAGAGACTACATAAAAATTGATACTGAGAATCTTGGCGTGACTTTAGCTGCATTTTACCAATATGCCATCTCTGAGCTTCGACCAAATGTGCATTTTGATCATTCAGGAATAATTACGTAAGACTCTACAGTTTCTTTCTTGAAATTGTCTGCCTTATTTTTCAACAATATGAAAAGGCCAGATTATTATTACATTATCTCATCATCATCATCATCATCATTATCATTATCCTAAAGTAGCCCAGAGTGGCAAATACACAAGTAATGGAAAAAAAAACATTAAAAAAAAATTCCTTTGCACCCGTATCAGTTTATAGTAGGAACCCTAGCAAGGACCCTTCCCTTGTCTTTGGTCTTAGCTTATTTATTCATTATTATTATTGTTCATTCATACTCCAGCTTCTTACAAAGTATACACAGGGAGGAAGCTTACATTAAATCTGTAGATTAAAGAAAGGTTAAAATGTTCTGTTCATAAACTTGGGCAAGATAGCTGCTCTGTAACTTTTGCAGTGTTTTACAACTATAACATGTGCAGTAATATCTTCTGTTATGTTATAGGGCTAAAGGGTTTCCTGCTGGACTTTCTTGGGGGGACCGGTTTTGTCTTTACACTCTAGTTTCAGTGTCTGCTATTCATGTAGGTGATTATCAGTCTCTTTGTTTTTCTCTTTGTAATATATTCCTAAAATTAGTAGGCTGCCAGAGGGAGGAAGGTAAACAGGGGTTCAGCCACTAGTTCTCCAGACTTTCCTTTCCATTCCATTGCATTCCATTCGGGCCAAGCTACCTGTGACCAAAGGAAATTTGCTGCAGTTTTTTTTATAAAAAAGATGTAAATAACACAGCTGCCAGGGGAAAGGAGATTTGGCTCAAATGTGGACTGTAGATTGAGGCAAGAGTGATAGTTCTATCACCATTCACCCCTTGTACAAATATAATACTATTATTTAATTAACTTATTAGTTGCTTTACACAAATGTCTCATAACAATATAAGAATAGGCAGCTGGATCAGGCCAGTGGACCTGAGTACAGCGGTACCTTGCCCTCCTGCAGTTTCCAACTGTTATTCAGAAGCATACTGCCTCTGACTCTGGAAGCAGAGCAGAGCCATTATGGCTACGACACATGGCAGTAATCCAGCCATGAGGTTAGCTGGGCATAGATCATTGAAGCGAGTTTATTCCCATCCAGACAGAGCTGCAGCCGGGCCACCAGCTGAAGCTAGTATAAGGCAATGTGACCAGTTGTACACCCAGTGGCAAAAATTAATTACCCCCAAGCAGTGCACCTGATCCTTCTGGGTGAGTGCAACCCCATTGAAACATCTTTACTGGACCTATGTTGAGTAGGCACTTGGTTACAGCCTTCAATGTCCATCCATCGTTAGCAGCTGGATCTAACCTGCCCCAGTGCCATAGTTAGGAAAATGGAGGTGGCCTGCATGGGTAAGCACAGGGGCTTCTAATTAAGTGATGAGGCTGCGGTGCCATGGGAAAGGCCCCAACAAGCTCCATCTGAGTGAAGGTGAAGGGGAGGGAAAAGAGTGATTGTCTGGGAGGATGGGACCATGTCTGGCATCAGACCTCGGGCATGGATTGTTTGGGAAAGGAGCAGCCCAGGTTTGGGGTTAGGCCTGTACTGGTACTACGGCTGGCATCATTGGGGACTGCTGTGTAGTTTGGAAAGGTTCACAGGAGGTGGTGGATGACTGAATTTGTGTCTCCTCTGTCAAACTTGAGGGGGTGCTGATGGGAAGGAGGATGAAATCTGGTGGCTGTTGGTCTAGGAAGTGGGGTGGGAATGGGACAGGCAGGCCAGCAGGGGCTTTTGGTCTTCTGTCTCATGGCTGATCCCGCTGAGGGAGTGGAGGAAGCAGCTGCTCTTCTTCAGGCCGTCATGTGAACTACTCAGCTTGGGACTGGGGGCAGATTGGGCTGTTGAAAAAGAGGAAAGTGGCGAGGACAAAACAAATCCGGGTCTCAAAATGTATTAAGGCATAACATGGGGGGTGGGAAAGAGGAAAACGACTTCCTTTCAATAGCACAAATGCTGAAATCATCTTCCAAAAAAAAATATAGTTGTAGGGTAGAACCCAATTTACATATTTTTAAAGCAGTTGAAATATACTCAAAGGATGTAAATGAAGTATGTATTTATGGAAAGTGTTTGATATTCTGATTACCTCAGTCCCTTCTTTCCTTTTCCTCGTATCTCAGACATACAGAAATCCTAAAGTTGATGCTGAAACAATTGCGCATGTGTTGGGTCATTCTCTTGGCTTTGGCCATGATGACACACCCTTAAACAAAGCTTGGGGCTGTGACTGTAATTGCACCAAGCCTGGCAGGTGTATAATGGCGGCAACTGGCAATCCGTGAGTAGTCCTTAATTAATTTCTTTCTTTCTTTCTTGTGTTTTTGTCTGAGTTTGGAAAGAAAAGCTGGTCACGTTATATTTTTGCTCAGTTCGTTTCTTGCCACTAAAGACGTTCTGCTCAGTTGTCCTTCTTAGATTCAAACTACAGATTACATTAAGTATCCCATTAGTGTTGTGTGCTTGGCTTTCGTTCCCCCGCTGCAACCCTGATCTTAATTGCCCTTTCCATCAACAAGCATGATGGTGAAGCTGCTAATTATGCGCTTCACGTAACTTGTAGGCAGGTCCACCTGAAAGTTACCTTGTAATCCCTCTTGAAAAAAATGGGAGCTATGCTAGAGTACGTCATTCTCAAGAATTTTGTGGAGAACTGAACAGTTTCTTGGTAGATTTCCCACTGGAAGAACCTTCTACAGTACACACACATTAAGCTCCTTTGTGGATTTTCTTTGGAGAAGATAAGCAAGATAAGAATTCTCTTTAATTGTCAGATAGATGAAATAAAAAACTATATTTTTTTACAAAGTATTGTTATGAGTTTGTGGGTTCTAGACACCCTAAATTCCTGGGTCCAGTAGATGACAGAATTTACCGTATTTTTTGCTCTATAAGACTCACTTTTTCCCTCCTAAAAAGTAAGGGGAAATGTGTGTGCGTCTTATGGAGTGAATGCAGGCTGCGCAGCTATCCCACAAGCCAGAACAGCAAAAGGGATTCCTGCTTTCACTGCGCAGCGATCCACCTTGCTGTTCTGGCTTCTGAGATTCAGAATATTTTTTTTCTTGTTTTCCTCCTCCAAAAACTAGGTGCGTCTTGTGGTCTGGTGCGTCTTATAGAGCGAAAAATATGGTAATTAAGGCTTGGGGTGTCAAAAGCTAAGCTAGTCTCCTGTGTGAAGTGATAGCTAGACCTTGTGTATTGAGATGTGTACTAAATACTTCCAAATCATCTGGAATCAGGGTATGTTAACAGCTAATTAAGTCAGACTAGCCTCCTGTGAGGGGCAATGAGCCATTAGAACAAAGGAACCTGGTATGAGATGGCAGGTGAGTGGGGCTTACAGTGTATTCCTCATTGAGTAGCAGCATGGTGCAGTTATTCCTGGCTTCCTTAGTCTAAGCATCTGGCTGTAACCTGTATTAAGGAATAAGTGGTTTTATACATTTTCTCCTAGTGTGTTTCAATATTTTGAGGATTTGAAATAATTTAACTCTTTTTGTTTCTATCTATTGTTGTACAGCACCTTAGAAGAATTTGTACCCTGAAAGGCAAGATACAAATTAGTATAGTAAATATATTTAATAAATCATTTCATCATACTGGATAATAATTTCTCCTCTGTTACAGAACATGCTCAAGGCTGAGTAACTGCAGCAGGAAGGTATATTATGATGCAATAAGAAAACCAGGAAAAGAATGTCTTATTGACATACCTAGCAACGTAATTATCAAAAAGAAGTGTGGAAATGGTGTCATTGAGGATGACGAAGAGTGTGACTGCGGCCAAGATGAGGTGAGGCATTAAGACTGTTGTGAAAGATGTGCACGGAAGAATTAATAAAGTGTGGATGTATATATTTTCCGAGCTATGGAATTGCTCAGGAGGACAATGACCGATTCTAAATTTTCAGTCTGCTCCGAAATCTTCTCTTCTGTATTCTTAGCAAATCAATGCTACTGTTGTTTCATACTTAAATAAGTTAACAGAGCTTATTTACACAAGCATAGCCTTATACTGTCTACTCAGATATAAATCCTGTTACGTTAAATGCTACTTATTCCCCAAGGAAATGCACATAGGGATGCAGCCTAGATCATTTACTTTTCAGGGCCAAATTACTTCACTAAAACTGCTAGTCTGAGAGCCTTTTCTCACACAGAGAGAACAAGAGTAGGGTGAGAATTGTTTTTCTATGGTGTAATCTCTTCTGGGTAGGGATTATTATTATTATTATTATTATTTATTTATTTATTTATTTATATCCCACCTTTTCCCCAGTCTGTGACAGAGATAAAATAGAACAAGTGAAATAATAATAATAATAATAATTTATTATTTATACCCCCGCCCATCTGGCTGGGCTTCCCCAGCCACTCTGGGCGGCTTCCAAAAGAATATTAAAATACTATAATACATCAAACATTAAAAGCTTCCCAAAACAGGGCTGCCTTCAATGTCTTCTAAAAGCCTGGTAGTTGTTGTTCTCTTTGACATCTGATGGGAGGGCGTTCCACAGGGCGGGGGCCACTACCGAGAAGGCCCTCTGCCTGGTTCCCTGTAACTTGGGAAAAACATAGAAAAGACAGTCATTAAAATGTAATTGGACACTAACAGAATTAAGATAGTATTAAAAGATCCATTAAAAACACAAAACACAGAAATAGCTATAAAAACATAAGAGCCCTTTCTCCTGCAACGGTATGGGCAGGTCTAATAGCGTAGGTCTTTCTCTTAGAATGGGTATATTTATTATATGAAAACATGCCAGTTAGGTATGAAAGAGCCAAGAAAATGGCTTTGAATACTCCACCCACACTTCACAGCTGCATAGAAAAATGGCTCCCACATCACTGAGAAAGGGGCCTCAATTTTCAGTTTTATTGAGTCAAGACATTTCCCCCTAAAAAACAATTACTGGATTACACCCACTTTCTTTGGCTGATAGGCAAGGAATGATGTGAATCATAATTAGGGAGATAGCAAGAAGTAGCTGAGCACAGGTTCCAGTTGCCCTTGCGACACATATTCCTACAAGAGGTATTAAGTAAGTTGGTGTGTGTTATTAAGTACATACATTAAGACTCTGTACACACCATACCTTTAAAGCACCCTTCACAAGAATCCTGGGGTCTGTAGTTTACCCCCTAGGTAAAGGTAAAGGGACCCCTGACCATTAGGTCCAGTCGTGACCGACTCTGGGGTTGCGGCACTCATCTCGCTTTACTGGCCGAGGGAGCCGGTATACAGCTTCCGGGTCATGTGGCCAGCATGACTAAGCCGCTTCTAGTGAACCAGAGCAGCGCACGGAAACACCGTTTACCTTCTCTCCGAAGCGGTACCTATTTATCTACTTGCACTTTGACGTGCTTTCGAACTGCTAGGTCGGCAGGAGCAGGGACCGAGCAACGGGAGCTCACCCCGTCGTGGGGATTCGAAACACCGACCTTCTGATCAGCAAGTCTTAGGCTCTGTGGTTTAACCCACAGTGCCATCCGCGTCCCAGTAGTTTACCCCCTACACAGCTATAATTTACAGGATTCTTGAGTGTGGGGTTGTATATTCATATGCAACTTAAGGTGACTTTAAAGAGAAGCTCATTGCAGTGGCACCCTGTCCCTGAGAGGCGGAAGGTTTGAAAAGGAGGTGTACAGAGGACACCCATCATCCCCACAAAGTTCTGTTTTGCAAATCTCTCAAGGCAACAACAATGAAAGAGCTGCTACGCTGTAGCATTCAGTATATTTTTTCTTCTTTTATCAGGAACTAGAAGAGGCAGGGATCCTGAATATATTTCTGCAGCCAATTACAAAACTTTCAGGGGCCAAAATACAGTCTCAGGTGAGTGGATAAAATATTAGTAGAATCACACTGTTTCCTACATCAAATTTTGCTACATGTCTTTGGGTCCCCCAGTAGTAGTAGTGTCTTTGGTTGTGTGGTGAGGAATGCCAGCTGGCTAAACACCACATAGGTAGGCCATTAAGTTTTACCCTGTATGCAGTGGCGTAGCGTGGGTTGTCAGCACCCGGGGCAAGGCAAGTAATTTGCGCCCCCTAACCCGTGGATTTGCGCCCCCTAACCCGTGGATTTGCGCCCCCAACCTGTGGATTTGCCCTAACCCCAGATGTTGCGCCCGGTGCGGCCGGCCCCCCCTGCACCCCCCACGCTACGCCACTGCCTGTATGAAAGGAAGTACAAGGAAGTACGGCTGCTTTTTGAAGCATGCGATAACAAAAAGATGTTTTGTCCCAGCTGGATCTTGAAGTGTTCTGCTTTATTTACATGTTTCCACATAAATATCAGCTGTTCTGTGGACCATACTAGCAGTCTCCAAAGTTTCATGATGGGATTTGTTTGTCATGAAAACCTCATGAAAATTCCCTTAGCAGTAAGAAAGCAGTCAACATGTTGAGTGACTAAGCCACTGCCAAGAAGTTCTACAGGACAGACCCCTGGAAGCTGTGAAGGAACTTTGGGGCAGCTTTGTGACTCTGCCAATGTTAACATAACAGATACAGAGCTGGACTTACATCAGCAGCCAACATCTTCACAGGAGAGGAGACATGCATTGACTGGGGGGGGGAAATCACTTTATTTTAAATAAATTAGCCTTGCCTTTAATGATCTTGCTTGGAAGATTAAAAGCATTGCACTTGCCTCAGAAGTTGCTTCACACAAGTTAATGAAAATTGTAGTAATGGCTTTACAATGAATGATAGTTTCTGTATCTTGTAAAGGTTACGTTAATATATTTAAAAGAAAGTGATTTAGTCAGCCAATACATGTTTCAGAGGTTTTGCAATATTTAGATTTATTTAAATTGATTCAGTGGTAAAAGCCAGACAGCAGTGTAAAAGAGTAAATGAAGTAAAGTGTTTTGTAACTCCCTTTTAGTTTTTTAGACAGTGGATGCAAAGATCAGAGAACCAATATTTGTTTGCTGATGACTCACGGTCTAAAGTTATGTCTGTAAGTTTTTGGTAAAATATTATTTAAATTATGTCATTTCTTGTCACACATAATGCTACATTGAATGTTTGCTACTATGTTAACTCATGTAATGTAAATGGCTTTTTGAAAAAAAATGTTAAAACAACTTGACAACGTTGATGTTGGGACTCTGTTGCGATCAGGCAAGCTTGGTTAAGAGAGCCATTCCAGCTGTGGTGGGGTGTCATCAGTATAGGAACTTGGATATCTCAGAACTCCACAATGTATTTAATCCTGCCCCAACTGCTCTCTGGGTGCCAGTCAGTTTCCAGCCCCAATTCAAAGTGCTGGTTTTGACCTATAAAGCTTTAAACAGCTACGAACTGCAATACCCCAAGGACTACCTCTCCCCATTTGAACAGACTCGAACCCTGAGATCATCCTCAGTCTTGGTCCAGTATACCTGAAGGAGCGTCTCCACCTCCATCATTCTGCCCAGACACTGAGGTGCAGCGCCAAGGGCCTTCTGGCAGTTCCCTCCATGCAAGAAGCCAAGTTACAGGGAACCAAGTAGAGGGCCTTCTCAGTAGTGGCACCCACCCTGTGGAACGCCCTCCCACCAGATGTCAAAGAGAACAACAACTACCAAACTTTTAGAAGACATCTGAAGGCAGCCCTGTTTAGGGAAGCTTTTAATGTTTAATAGGTTATTGTATTTTAGTGTTCTGTTGGAAGCTGCCCAGAGTGGCTGGGGAGACCCAGTCAGATGGGCAGGGTATAAATAATGAATTATTATTATTATTATTATTATTATTATTATTAATTATTAATTATTATTAATTATTATTAATTATTATTATATATCCTCTGAGTCCCTTCTTCATGTGCCGCCTCCGAGAGAGGTCTGGAGGGTAGCAACATGAGAACAGGCCTTTTCTGCAGTGGCTCCCCACTTGGGAATGCTCTCCCCAAGGAGGTTCATCTGGTCTCTTCATTATACACCTTTAGGTGCCACACAAAAATGTTCCTCTTTAACCAGGCCTTGGGCTGATTAACATCTTATACCCCTTTTAAATGTGTGGGAAGGGGTGGAGAGGGGGGTATTGGTTAGTGTGTGTGTGTTTAATTTTTGCTGTTATATTATATACATATTTTGTGTTTTTTATATTGTATTTTTATGTTGTGAACTGCCCTGAGATCTATGGATGAAGGGTGGTATAAAAATTTAATAAATAAAAGAAATGTAAGCTCAATGATACATTTGTTGCACCTCTGACCCATTTAGTCACATGCTGCTCTCCCCACTATTTCTTCCAATTCATCTGTTAGCTCTTACAGATTCTTCAGTATAGCCTTTCTTGAATTTTGTTGTGTCGCTTGCGATATGTCAGCCCTCTAGTTTATGGCTGATCCTTTTAAATAGCTGTAATCCTTCCTGGTTTTGTGACCTTCCTAAAGTTGCTTAATTGCACTGCCTACTCCTTCATTCAATGTTTAGATCAAGAAAGGTATCTGCAGTGTCTTGTTTCTATACCATGAAGCATTCGGGAACCAATATGTATTGCTCTGATATTTGAAAGTGGATACTATGAACCATGCCACAACTCTTTCATTTTTTATAGGAAGAGGGTGAATCAGGGATCATCAGTTCATTAATGGATAGCAACTTTCCAGAATTCCAAGGGCCCAGTGTAAGTTGTAGATTAATGTTATAATGCTAAGATATGGAATATCTGTATTCCTTAAAACGTTTTCCTTTTCCTTACAAGTGCAATGGTGACCAAACATTTTACAATCTCTTGGTTAAAATATGGTACGCCTGCTGGGAAGTCAGATAAAATTGCTTTTGGCCACAATCCCCCAGTTTCTTGACCTCATATAAGCAAAGAAAAAGACAAGCCCTTGCCTCAAAAGGAATCTGCAGTTTAAGTTTAGACTGAGGATGGAGGACATCTGGTGGTCAAGGCAGCTTGGCAAATGTAATAAATGAATACACCCGATGGCATAGTTAGTCTAAGAGACTGCATTTAAAGTACAGTATTGAGAGATAATTCCTTCTTTTGCAGGAATGCCAAAGGAATGGCTGCTGCCAAAAGGACTGTAAATTATCACCAGGCATCGAATGTCTTTATGGACTTTGCTGCGAGAGATGTAAGGTAATATAAAAACAGCATATTTCAAATAAATGTAATAACTAGGGATGCCCTGAACTCCCCTCCCGCACCCACCCATGGCCAGCCCAATAGATATTTCTGCCCAAAGTGGAGCACCAAATTTTTTTACCCCGTCAGAGTAATGCTACATCATCATATAGCATTGTTCTTATGGCTTTGGGATGAAGGCGTTTATGCCCACCCATCCCACCCCCAGCCAGCCTTGTCAGAGGAATGCTATGCCAACATCTTGTGCTGTATCCCAGTTCCTGTTCAGGAGCTGGCTGCACTCCATGCGCCGTACTCCCATCAGACCAGAAAAGCCCTGCTTGAGAAGAGGGGAGAGGATAGATAAAGCAGCCTGCCGCTTACCAACAGTTACTATATCCCCCCCCCCCGTCCAAGAGCCAGCCTCTACCTTCTTAGGTCTTCCTTTTCTATTACAGTGGTACCTCAGGTTACATACGCTTCAGGTTACAGACTCCGCTAACCCAGAAATAGTGCTTCAGGTTAAGAACTTTGCTTCAGGATGAGAACAGAAATCGTGCTCTGGCGGCGCAGCGGCAGCAGGAGGCCCCATTAGCTAAAGTGGTGCTTCAGGTTAAGAACAGTTTCAGGTTAAGAACGGACCTCTGAAACGAATTAAGTACCCGAGGTACCACTGTACTCTTTCTGAAGCATATAAGCCATCAATCATCAGGAGGCTAGAGTCTTGCAGCCTCTTTCCACCCACACCCATGGTCTATGGTTACCAGATTTTTTAAAATGAATCCGGGGACGCTTTTTTGGGGGGGGGGAGATGAGTAGCAACAGGGAGTCAGTAGTGGGGATGGAGAGGCAAAACACCCTGGTCCCAAGCACACATGTATAATTGTATAAAGGTGCAAAGCCCTGGGCAACAGCCGCCCGCCCACGACTCCTGAGCCTCCCCCAATCAGTCAAAACAAAGGGGGAAGGGGGCAGGAGATTGGGGAAGGCTCAGGAGTTCCAGGCAGGCGGTGCGCCATTGCCCAGTTTTTAAAAAGCTCTGCGCATTTACTGTATTTTTTGCTCTATAAGACGCACTTTTTCCCTTCTAAAATTAAGGGGAAATGTGTGTGCGTCTTATGGAGCGAATGCAGGCTGCGCAGCTGTTCTGGCTTCAGGGATAGTCGCCACTCCTGCTGTTCTGGCTTCAGCGAAAGCAACGCAAAGCGTCTTCAATAAAATTTGATTCAGATTTTTTCTTCTTCTTGTTTTCCGCCTCTAAAAACTGTGCGCGTCTTATGGTCGGGTGCGTCTTATAGAGCAAAAAATATGGTGTATTTCACAGGGTGCGAAAGAAGGGCTTTGCACCTTGCCTGGCAGAGAAACTGTGCCCCTCCTGAGTAATGGTGCGCCACCCGCCCAAAACTCCGGAGCCTCCCCCGATCAGTCAAAACAAAGGGGGAAGGGGGCAAGAGATCTGTACCACTGGACATCCCCGGTTCCCCTTTGGCAGTGGCGGTGGCAGCGGCAGTAAGCAGCTCCTGAAGCCAGCCAGAGCCAACTGCACTACCAGGCTGCCACATTTCCTTGGGACAGATTTGCAAATCTGGCGACATTCCAGGGACGGAATTTGTCCGGGGACAGATTTGCAAATCTGGGGACTGTCCCCGGGAAGCGGGGACGTCTGGTAACCCTACCATAGTCAACATCCAGCCATCCTGGCTGATGACTGGTTAGGCTACTCGTGAGCAAGCAAGCAGTCTAGCAGCAGCTTCTCCACATAGTGTGATTCTCAGGTATTGGGGGAGGGGGAAAGAAAATGGTGGCTCTCACCTGTGGCCACTATGGGGTGCCCCATACCAGGATGGAGAATTTTGCCTTTCCTCAACATGGTCCCCTGACCCACAGAATTTATGAGAGGACTTGGCTCCCCTGTCATTGCCCCCCATTTGTCTGAAATTTTATCCCTTTCAAGGAAAAAATTCAGTCATTTTTAGAAAACTCCCAAACCCCTGGCCTCCACATTTAGGCTGTACTTTGAATACATAGAGTACTTCCTAACTGTCATCTTATTTGGCCACACAATGATCCTGAAGAGTAGAAAGCAATGGTGAATTGCCCCAGGCCACCTAGTGAATGGCCTTGAATTCCCATGTCACTATCCACTGTGCCCCATGAGCTCCAAGAGCAATTTATGGCTAAAGCAAGAATTCACTTCAGCTTTGTCTGATTTAATAAGATGGTCTTTGGCTGGGTTTCCCCACACAATTTTGCACACAGCATAGTTCCCCTTGATACTTGGGCTTCCAGCAGATTGCAGAATAGGCTTGCAACAGCAGCCAAGCCACCAGAAGCTGTACATTATTGACAGAACCTCGTGCTTCAGCACCAGGGGACATGGGAGTATGTTTTTATTCTATGGTGAAAGGGGAAATATTGGGAGTCCAGTTTTGCCTATTTGAGGCACTGAGGCATTGCAGGAGCTTCACTGAGCTCAAGAAAAGGACTAAAAATGAGACCTGAGGGTTCATTTACATGGTGCTTTGCGCTCAGACTCACCAAGGCAGATAGAAAATGACATTTATGACAGGGAAGGAAGCATTTGACATTTTCCCCACCTGCAATTTCCTATACTTTAAATTCTCTGTAAGTTGTCCACCCATACACACTGCAGGCGCATTTTCAATGCATTTCCAAGGACATGCATGAGTTTTAAACTTCATTGAGGGAGCTGCTTGGGGAAGCCAAGAGAAATGGCAGATAAGGAAATAATTTTATTCCTCCATGCCCACTCCTGCCTGTTGCTTTGTCATTGCCAATGCAGCCAACATTGGGACTTTAATTTGTGTAATTTAGCTCCACAAGTAATTTCAGTTTCTGAAGGGAAAACATGACACGCCTCTATTGAAGAGTCAGAATGAGAAGCTTCAATTGTTGTTTCCAACAGTTGTTAGAAGAGGGAACAGTGTGCAGAGAAGCTGTTTCCGAGTGTGACCTTCCGGAGTACTGCAATGGGAGCTCTCCTGTTTGCCCGCCAGACGTCCATAAACAAGATGGGATGCCATGTAGCAACAGTAACAGCTGCTTTATGGGGAATTGCATTGACCTCCACAAACACTGCACATCTCTTTTTGGCCAAGGCAAGATTAACCTTCACTTCGGGAAGAAAAGGGAAAATCTGTTTCATTCCTTAACACATCTGGGAAGAGGGCTTCGGGAATCTTCTGCTACGTTGTGTGTCCTGAGTGATTTTTCTCTTTAGCCTTTCCTTAGTGGATGTCAGGCTCTAGGGTTCTCCCAAATTTATCCATGCTGTTTGTTGGCATAATGAGGAGAGAGTTGAAATTCTCCAACCATTTGGGGGTGGGTGGAACAGAAACATTATTTTAAAAGCCTCCATTTAGAAATTGCAGGCCACTTAATGTTTAATGCAACTTTGTTGTTGGTTAATATTGGTGGCTGAAAGTAGTGGTGGACTAAGAGGTTGATTTGAAGGAGCAGGGGGCCATGCCTACTGATTCCTTCGACAATATTAAAATAGTATTAAATGACACTGAAACTGAATCCACAGTTATCTCAGAATCCCCCACCCTATTAACAAATGCTGAAATGTGGAGGTGTGGGGTTGCCTGAATATTCTCCAGGGAAGAATTGAAAGTCTTCAACAGTTGAGGAGGAACTCAATAAAGTTTTGTTTTCCAAAAACTTACAATAGAATCATTTCTTGAGAATTTTCAGTCCAGCTTGCTAACAAGTGGTGGTGAGGAAATTCAGTGAGCCAACTTTATGGATACTGAATTTCTAGCTCAGCCAAATTCACAGATTTCTGCTCATTATAGGGTCCCAGGTGCAGAAAGCCCAGATGATGTGTAACACACTCATGTGCAGGTTTGCAGCAAACATTTTAATACCAGTTAAGATGAACATTGAAAGTTGTTAGAAAGAACAGTACAATAAAACATGTCCTACAATTTCTATTTTTTCTGCTTCACAGGGGCATAAGCATTCATGGTGTGGTACATTGTTGTATCTACCCTTCAGTACTGCAGATGGGAGCACATTAAATTTAGCCTGAGTTAATGCTTTCCTAAATTTTGGAATAGTCAACTTGATCAGATGATCATCAAGGAGAGCCCACCCTCTGTCTCTAAAAGTTGGAAAGATAGAAGCTACACTTAATATAATTTTGCAACTCGAAATCTCAGATGCGTTGGCATATGTTTTCTTTGGCTTTTGCATAACTCATAGCAAGAATGGCATTTGGTTTAGTACTTTCTCATTTACTATCTTCTTCCACTGTTACTGAAATGTGTCAGTAAGGGTTGGTAAGGGTCAAGGGGGCCAGGCCTTCAGGCATGAATAACAGTTTTAACCAGAAATTAAACTTATATATACAGATCTAAGACTCAATAGAAATTTGTCTAGTCTCTAATTGTAAAAGTATGTTGGGCACACATCCTGGAAGACTAAGAACAGTTCTCAGAAATTTTGTTTGGACAGATTCTGGAGCCTCAAAACTGTTAAACGTACACACTTCTGCTCCAAAAAACATTTGTGGCAAGATCTTAACACTTACCGTATTTTTCGCACTATAGGACGCACTTTTTCCCCTCCAAAAATTAAGGGGAAATGTGTGTGCGTCCTATGGTGCGAATGCAGGCTTTTGCTGAAGCCTGGAGAGCGAGAGGGGTCCGTGCGCACCGACCCCTCTCGCTCTCCAGGCTTCAGGAAGCTATCCCAAGTCTTGCAAGCCCGGCGGGATGTCCCGCGGGCAGCAGCCTGCACCCAAAAGCTGGGGACAGCGGGGAGGCGCAGAGCCGCCACCCCGCTATTCCCCGACCTGATCTGGAGGCTGGCGGGGGGAGAAGCAAGCCTGCTTCTCCCCCCCCAGCCCCACAAGCTCGGGGGATAGGGGGATGGCGAAGCGCCGCCATCCCGCTATTCCCCGACCTGAACTGGAGGCTGGGGGCTGGAGAAGCAAGCCTGCTTCTCCCCCCCCCAGTGGCGGCGCTCCGCCATCCCGCTATTCCCCGACCTGATCTGGAGGCTGGGGGTAGGAGAAGCAAGCCTGCTTCTCCCCCCCCCAGCCCCACAACCTCCAGATCAGGTCGGGGAATAGCGGGATGGCGGCGCTCCGCCATCCCGCTATTCCCCGACCTGATCTGGAGGCTGGGGGTGGGAGAAGCAAGCCTGCTTCTCCCCCCCCCCAGCCCCACAACCTCCAGATCAGGTCGTGGAATAGCGGGATGGCGGCGCTCCGCCATCCCGCTATTCCCCGACCTGAACTGGAGGCTGGGGGCGGGAGAAGCAAGCCTGCTTCTCCCCCCCCCCCAGCCCCACAACCTCCAGATCAGGTCGGGAAATAGCGGGATGGCGGCGCTCCGCCATCCCGCTATTCCCCGACCTGAACTGGAGGCTGGGGGCGGGAGAAGCAAGCCTGCTTCTCCCCCCCCCCCAGCCCCACAACCTCCAGATCAGGTCGCGGAATAGCGGGATGGCGGCGCTCCGCCATCCCGCTATTCCCCGACCTGATCTGGAGGCTGGGGGTGGGAGAAGCAAGCCTGCTTCTCCCCCCCACCAGCCCCACAACCTCCAGGCTTCAGGAGAGCCCCACCGCCAGCCCCACAAGCTCGGGGGACAGCGGGAGAGGCGCAGCGCGCCCTTCCCGCTGTCCCCCGACTTGGCTAGAAGGCTGGCGGGGGGAGAAGCCTGCTCCTCCCCGTCGCCAGCCCCGCAAACTCGGGGGACAGCGGGAGAGGCGCAGCGCGCCTTTCCCACTGTCCCCCGACTTGGCTAGAAGGCTGGCGGGGGGAGAAGCCTGCTCCTCCCCGTCGCCAGCCCCGCAAACTCGGGAGACAGCGGCAGGGGCGCAGCGCGCCCTTCCCGCTGTCCCCGGACTTGGTTAGAAGGCTGGCCCAGCCCCGCAAACTCGGGGGACAGCGGGAGAGGCGCAGCGCGCCATCCCGCTGTCTCCCGACATGGTTTGGAGGCTGGCGGAAGGCTTCCTCCTCCCCCAGCCCCGCAAGCTCCCAGAGCGATGCCAAAGCTGCGCGCAGCTTCGGCATGGCTCTGGGTCCCGTTCTGGGGGAGGGGGAAGCTCGGGCTTCCCCGCCCCAGCCCCAGCCCCGCGCCTGGCGGGGGGGGGGAATAAATTTTTTTTGCCTTTATTTCCCCCCCCCAAATCTAGGTGCGTCCTATGGACCGGTGCGTCCAATAGTCCGAAAAATACGGTAGATAGCCTCTTTTATATGCCTTAATTTAGTTCTTGCCAGTCCTCATTTTTTCACGCCTTCCCCTTTCCCTCTCTGCAGGTGCAAAACAGGCCCCACTGAGTTGTTTCAAGAAAGTGAATATGCGAGGCGACCAGGCTGGCAACTGTGGCAAGGATGGGCTAAAATACAGGAAATGTTATGAAGAGTAGGTTATACCTGTGGGCAGGTATCTTGTTTTCTTAGATTACTCATTCCATTTCCCATAACATTAAAAACAGTTTAAGACAAATTGCAGTCACAATAGGATGGGCCCAGTTGTGTGTGTGTCTGTACCTCCCAAGTGTCAAAGGCCATGGTGAAGATGCTCATCGTCATGCCCTCTTTCAGCCCTACTGCCAGGTTTCTGAAAGCAGTGGAACTATGAAGATGGTCCCTTTGGTATGTCCCTCTCCTGTTATTTTGGGGCTCATCCATGCTTACCTTTCCCCCTGCACTTTCCTGGTTCATGTCCGAGCACTTTTTTTTGTCCTGCCAATTTCCCCAAGAAAATCTGCTCTTTAATGCTGAATTGGAGCAGACAGCAATTCAGGTTTTCCCCGGATTACCGTTTGCACCAAGTCAGTGATAAAGAGTGGGTTTTCACAGGGGAAACGCTGGGTCAACAAAGTGTTCAGACACAGACCTGGAAAGCCCAGTCCTGTGCCTAGAAATGTGGAGAAAAGTTAAGTGTGGATGAGCCCTTAAGTATATGTATTTTCCCTCACAGCCTTTTGCCTCTTCAGCAAGCTGTTATCTGCTCCTTTTTGTAAACTGTACCTCATCTGGATTCCTGGGTGGCCAGAGCATCTGACACTGAGAATGGAGGAGGTATACTTTTAAAACACATCCAATGTGTGGGATAACAAGCCTCACATAACCAACATGCTTATGTTGAATTAATGCATGAAGGGGTTAAGACCATAGAGTAAACTGTCCTGCCAGGCTTAGCTTACCTTGGCAGCAACTAGGTAATCAGACATATTGTTTTCTGCCAATCTACCTGAGAAGCTCAGTGTGAGAGGGGGTCAGACCTCATGACTCTCACAAGTCACTGTTGAGTTCCCATACCAATAATTTAGGAACTTTCACCAAGTAACTAAGCCCAGTTTTACTGCCTGTGCAACTTTTCTGACTTCTTCATGGAAAAGCACATGAACCTGACCTTGGAAGAGTTTGTAAGTACTGTAAATCATTTTTAACTTACCAAATGTGTGGTCTTTTTCTATGCTAGGGGGAGTGGGAAACTTCGGAATGAACTCAGAAGGGCATTTTTTAAAGGTCTGGCTCTAACAGCCTATACTTCCACAGTTTACTTTGCTGCATATTTTGTGATTTTGAATCTCTGCTGGGGTTCTCTCACCAAAAGTATTTGCCTCAGACTTGAATCTTAGCAACCAGGAATTCTTCTTTTCTACCTTTATTTTTTATTCTGCTCCAACACGATGGACATTTAAAACACATGACTCCCCCCAAAGAATTCTACAAACTGTCATTAAGGGTCCTGGGAACTGTAGCTCTGTGAAGGGGAAACAAAGGTTCCCCTAATACTTTTGGGGAAGCCACATACTTTAAATGTGCATCCATTGTGCTTTAAATGTCTGGTATGGATCTGCCCAAACATTTTCCTTCCTCGCTTTTCTTTCAGAGATGTTCTTTGTGGAAGGCTCCAGTGCACTCATGTTAATAAAATTCCCAAAATGTTAACAGGACAAAGTGTAGTTCAGACTCCAGTGGAGGGTACATTCTGCTGGGGTTTTGAACGTCATATTGGCCAGCATGTTTATGATCTTGGAGCAGTGAGAGATGGAACAACCTGTGGACCTGACAAGGTAGCTTTGGCTGGATCCCTCGCTTGGCTCTGATTTCTCAAATTCTGACTTGGGATGGGGTGGCAACTTGCTTTGCTAGGGAGTACAGTATTCTCTGAATATGGCTTCCTGATTTTTATTTATTTATTATTGACTGATCTGGCAAGTCATTTGGTTGGCCTTTGGCAGCAGCACTATCTGCTTAGTTAAGAGTGTGTACAGAGCGGCATGCACAATTTGAGCAGTGAGCCCATTATGGAAGTGCAGGTCCCCACATTTTAGGCGTGTATGCATTCTTCTCTGCCAGACTTAGGTCAGGGAAAACCTGTTCTTCTGTGCTGATTGGCTACCGCTCATTTTAGTAATCAGACCACTTTCTCCTTTCTTAGGGCAGGACGATACACATTGCTGACTAGCTGGTCCTTAGGTCAATCAGGCAGCTTCCTCTCTGCTTCTCAGAGCAGTTATCAAAAAATGAACAGTCTAAAATCAATAATAAAAAATAAAGCACAGAACAAATGTTCAAGCAGTTGGCTATGCAAGGAGCTTTTAAAAAAATAACCACACAAGTGGATAGGCCACCTGAAACAAGGTTGTGGGGTGATGCTGGATCTGGAGCCTTTATCTGTGTCATTACTGAAGGAAAGACTGGGGGAAGCACAGCTCTCTCTGCAGCAGCAGAACCCACACCTCCTGTTTCAAGGTCTGCTTGTGCACAGCCCAGGAGTATTCACCAGGAGTCTTGGCTTCCAAACTGTCAGAATCCAAGCTTTTCGGCTGCCAGTGCACTATATAAAATTAACATTTCATACATCCCTTTCCAGATATGCATGAACAGATCTTGTGTTGACCGGGCCGTTTTGAATTATGACTGTGATTTTTCAAAATGTAGTAACAGAGGGGTAAGTATTAAAAAAGAAGAAAATATGCCATCCCTTGAGACCTGCTCAGGTTAATGTTGAACCCACAATTGATCTGTGGAAAGAGGCGATAACCTCAGTGTTTGACATGATCACATAGAATCATAGAATCATAGAGTTGGAATAGACCACAAGGGCCATCGAGTCCAACCCCCTGCCAAGCAGGAAACACCATCAGAGCACTCCTGACATATGGTTGTCAAGCCTCTGCTTAAAGACCTCCAAAGACGGAGACTCCACCACACTCCTTGGCAGCAAATTCCACTGTCGAACAGCTCTTACTGTCGAACAGCTCTTACTGTCATAAGACAGTAACCCTTGGGTGTGATGCAGAACATGGGCTCCTTGCTGTGAAGTGCTTAGGTAGGTGGCTAGAGTGATGGTGGGGAAAGGCATGTGACCATGGCTAGGCAAACTAAGGCCCGGGTGCCGGATCCAACCCAATTGCCCTCTCAATCCGGCCCACGAAAGGTCCGGGAATCAGTGGTTTTTTTACATGAGTAGAATGTGTCCTTTTATTTAAAATGCATCTCTGGGTTATTTGTGGCGCATAGGAATTCGTTCATTCTTTTCTTCAAAATATTTTCCGGCCCTCCACAAGGTCTGAGGGACAGTGGACCGGCCCCCTGCTGAAAAAGTTTACTGGCCCCTGAGTTAGACCCCTTTTGAATGTTTGTGAATGTTTTATGTAGTTTTGTAGTAGTTTTTATGTAGTTTTATTTAGTTTTTCAATTTCATTGTTCAACATGGGACAATGACAATAAAGATATCTATCTATCTATCATTTTAAAGCCTATTGTGTTGTGATGAGGGTAACAAAAGAGTTGTTTTCCAGTACTGTTGCAGGCAGAGTTGTTGTTGGAAGAGGGGTTGTTGCATTCTGGAACCCAGGACACCAAGGGGGAGCCCGTAGCAACTTCCTATGAAGCATTTGAAGGAAAAAAAAACACGTTGACAAGAACATTCCCTTGTGTTTTGTTTTTTTACATCTGCTGGCTTTTCCAGTGGCAAACCTGCACTTGCCATCCTTGTGGAAGTTCTTGTGTGAATGCAGGATTGGCCAAGTAGGTTATATGTGCCAGTTGCTGCTTGACACCCTTTATGTTTTCCAGGTGTGCAACAGCAAGAGAAACTGCCATTGTTCTTATGGATGGGCCCCTCCCTTCTGCTCCGGCAGAGGGTTCGGCGGGAGCATTGACAGTGGGCCGCCTCCGAGTAATGTGAGTAAGTATCCATTGGGTTTGGTACTTTGGCTCTTCGCTTTCAAGGGGCCTTCCTAGATCCAGTCACTAAAGGACATTCTTGCCTGTGCTTCAGCTATCGATCCCCCAGCTCTGCAGATTATTTCAGGACATGACAAAAGCTGGAAGTCGTGACTGCTTGCAGGTCTGAACGTATAAAATACTTTGTTCTTTCTCATTTTTGCCTGCAGTGGCTACCAGTCTTGTCGTTGTGACGGGCACCCTGGCTGTGTTGCTGTTCCTTGCTCTGGGTTTTGTTGCCACACTTAAGAGAATGCAATTGGAGGCTTGGTAAGTAAATGTTTCCTTCATGATAAGGTTGACTGTGGCAGTGTTGTTATATCTCAAGACAGCTGTTCATTGTTTTGCTGCAATGCTGGAACCATATTGAAGGGCTACTAACTTCTCTGTGGTTTTCATCAATAGGTTTGCTAGAGTGATCTGGAAAAGAATAGGATCAGGAGATACAGTAAGTTACTGAAAGCTCTTTTCTGGGAGGTCCAAAAGACCTACAGATCCAGATTCTTATTACTGACCACAGAGGAGGAAGTCTGTGAATGTTGATGATCCACCAAGATTTCAAATATTTCCTTTAGAACATTGTCCTGCAAAACATAGATCTTAAGGTCAAATCTGTTCTTTTTCAAACATTCTATATCCGTTCCACTTACCTTTGCCAGACTTTGATCTTTGGAATAAAACAAAGTCCTGATCTAGGTACCATAAAGTGTGGCTTCACTGGACTTCCTGTACCTCATCTTGCAGATTTATGCTTCATGATTGAAAAATAGTTAACATCATTGTTTCACTATCATCACAATGAGATATATGGCCTTTAATGCTGCTCTCTTTAGACCCAAGTTACAGAAAGATAATTTTAGCCTACCTTTAGGAATCTTGCAAAATTTCTCTCATCCAGATTTCTTCCTGGATTTTGGAGTTGAGAATTAACTTACCAAAGTGGAACCAATGCACTCAGAATTCTCCATTGTTCAGTTTTAATACTCCCCCCCCCAAAAAAAAAAATTAAGCACAGAGACCATCTATTTAGGCAGGGCGGTCTGAATTTCTCACTGCATTTTTGCTGGACTCTCTTCAAAACAGAGAAGCAATTTTAGCACACAAAGCAAACCCAAAAGGAGCAAAAAAGGGGACAAAGCAAAACAAATCAGGTTAAACACATCTGGCTATCCCTTACTTAAACAGTTTCCCAACAGCTTAAGTCTGGCATGGATACCCTCTGGCCAAAGCATTTCTCCTAGTGTAATGCACAAACATTCAAAACACTGAAGAGCAAGGAAGGACAAGTTTGGCTTAATTCCACCTGCAGACTGGCTTGCTCACATTCCAAACCACCTATGTGCTAGATCTTTAGTCAGGGCAGTCCAAGATGTGGCCAAGGATTTTTGGCAGCCCTTGGCAACATTTGACACACAACCCCAACAGCCCTTGTGCTGCCTTCCCAAAACTGGGTAAGCAAGGTGCTGGGCTTTGGGAAGGAGGTGTGAGCCTCTGACAGGCTCCTAGAGTCCTCCATTCACTTTCCCAAAGCCTACTAAGAAGAGTTTGAATTTGATATCCCCGCTTTATCACTACCCAAAGGAGTCTCAAAGCAGCTAAAATTCTCCTTTCCCTTCCTCTTCCACAACAAACACTCTGTGAGGTAAGTGGGGCTGAGAGACTTCAAGTGTGACCAGTGGTGTAGCGTGGGGGGTGCAGGGGGGGGCCGGCCGCACCGGGCGCAACATCTGGGGGGGCACGCTAATCTAGTGGAAGAGACTCGAGTGCTAAAATCCACGGGTTAGGGGGCGCAAATTACTTGCCTTGCCCCGGGTGCTGACAACCCACGCTACGCCACTGAGTGTGACTAGCCCAAGGTCACCCAGCAGCTGCATGTGGAGGAGCGGGGACGTGAACTCGGTTCTACCGCTCTTAACCACTACACCACACTGGCTCTTTCCCAGTTTGGGAAGAAGAGGGAGGGTTCTAGGACCCTGCCAGAGCCTTGCCCCAAAGGCCTAGAGCCTCCATTAGCCATTTTTGGGGAGGCAGCATGAGGGCTGGGGAAGGGCTCAAATTTTGGCCTTGTGCAACCCATGGGATCTATGTCAAAGGCATCTTGCAGCCCACTGAGTGCAGCAAGTTATATGGGGTGGGGGGGGGGTGGGGAGACAGTGATGATTCAGCCAACCTGTCTAATAGCGAGTACCCTCACATCCCAAACTTTTTACAACCTTTGTGAGAGTTCTGTAAAAGTGGCAGAAATTCTCCACCCACCTTCTCTGGAAAATGCCCTATAAATTCACCTCATCACTGTCCAGCTGAGACATTTTGTGAGCCAAATGGGAAATAGTAACCCTCATTTCTTATCTTTTAGGGATCACAAGCAAGCCTCGGGTCAGAATGTAGCATGTCACTGAAAAGCCGAGAGTCGGACATAACAACTGAAACTAGACTGTGCTGCTAGAGAGAAGAAAATAACAGGTGCTCCCAAGAGAGATTTATTGTGTCTCATCAATTTCCTCAGTGTTGTTTGGTCTGCTTGAATCTTGTTGTTGAATCTTTCTGTTTTTTGCCTTCCCACACTTCAAATAAAATGAGCTCTCTCTTGAACATTGCACATTAAGTGCCATTTATGTGGTCTGTTCTGCATGTGTAAACAGTGGTACCTCGGGTTACAGATGCCTTCAGGTTACAGACTCTTCTAACCCAGAAATTGTACCTCGGGTTAAGAACTTTGCTTCTGTTAACGGAGAAATCTGAGGGCTCCCTTGGACAAAAAACAAGGACCCCAGCCAGGAATACCAGAGCAAAACAGCAGCCAGTAGGCTTGGTCTTGATTGAAGGCTGTCGCGACAGGACTCCCACCTGCCACAAGGTGGAACAAGATGGAAGCCCTGAACAAAAGAGAACCCAAACTTTTATTAGCTACTAATTCCCCATGCTACACCCCTAAGACTACATCATGACTACATCATTGACACATCACAAAGCAGAGGGGTTCAGGGAGGAGTTGTGGTGGTAACCTGAGTCTCTTGTCGCCTGTCCAGTTCCTCCTTTCCCCCTCCCCATGATTAGAGGGAAGGGCTGGTCACTGTCCTTTGTTTCAGTCCATACTGAATCCACTTCCATATTCAGGTCCTTTGTGAGTGTAATGATCTTCTGCCTAGGACCATCAAGGTTGGCATGCCAACTGGGTAGGGCTCGCTGTGGACGTGTTGGGGGATTATGGCTACCTTGTGTCAAGTCTCCCCCCTTTGATAGTCCTTCCTTCATGGTGTAAAATAAAAGTGGAACGGTACAGATCTGATGTATGGCTGATTTGTGTGAGTGTGTGTGTGCCGTGTTTGTACAAACTGAATGATTGGGGGTGGGGTTCCTGCAACACTTCAGGATGAGAACAGAAATTGTGCTCCGGGGCGCGGTGGCAGCAGGAGGCCCCATTAGCTAAAGTGGTCTTCAGGTTAAGAACAGTTTCAGGTTAAGAACAGACCTCCAGAACGAATTATGTTCTTAATCCGAGGAACCACTGTATGTCAGGCATGAGCTGCCACAGTGACTTCGAGAAAACAACATGTTGCATTCTTCTGTTGAAGGGATTTGTTTCAAAATAAATCCCCCCCCTTTCCGAATCTGGTTAAAGATGCCTGATTTACTTCCACAAACATCTGAGCAGGTTCTAAGCCACTGACCCTTAATGCCACAGGAAAAATGTATGTGATCCTTTAAAGCAGTGATGGCCAAACTTGGCCCTCCAGATGTTTTGGGACTACAATTCCCATCATCCCTGACCACTGGTCCTGTTAGCTAGGGATGGTGGGAGTTGTAGTACCAAAACAGCTGGAGGGCCGAGTTTGGCCACTGCTTTAAAGCCATCCAGTTTTTTCCTTACCTCTGAAGATAAGGCACAAGCAATGCATCTGGTCTAATGTTTCAATCTCCTGGTTTTAAAATAGTGTGTTACTTTTGTTGTTTAGCCGTTTAGTCTTGTCCGACTCTTTGTGACCCCTTGGACCAGAGCACGCCAGGCACTCCTGTCTTCCACTGCCTCCCGCAGTTTGGTCAAACTCATGCTGGTAGCTTCAAGAACACTGTCCCACCATCTCATCCTCTATCGTCCCCTTCTTCTTGTGCCCTCCATCTTTCCCAACATCAGGGTCTTTTCCAGGGAGTCTTCTCTTCTCATGAGGTGGCCAAAGTCTTGGAGCCTCAGCTTCAGGATCTGTCCTTCCAGTGAGCACTCAGGGCTGATTTCCTTAAGAATGGATCGGTTTGATCATCTTGCAGTCCATGGGACTCTCCAGAGTCTCCTCCAGCACCATAATTCAAAAGCATCAATTCTTTGGTGATCAGCCTTCTTTATGGTCCAACTCTCACTTCCATACATCACTACTGGGAAAACCGTAGCTTTTACTATACGGACCTTTGTCAGCAAGGTGATGTCTCTACTTTTTAAAATGCTGTCTAGGTTCGTCATCGCTTTTCTCCCAAGAAGCAGGCGTTGTTTAATTTCATGGCTGCTGTCACCATCTGCAGTGATCATGGAGCCCAAGAAAGTAAAATCTCTCACTGCCTCAATTTCTTCCCCTTCTATTTGCCAGGAGGTGATGGGACCAGTGGCCATGATCTTCGTTTTTTTGATGTTGAGCTTCAGACCATATTTTGCGCTCTCCTCTTTCACCCTCAATAAAAGGTTATTTAATTCCTCCTCATGGGGAAATATTCCAAGTGCATTCATCTATCGAGCCACCAGGTGTCAGCAGTTGCCTTATATTGACCAGTGCAGAACATAAAGAAATGACACAATCTCTCCCTGGAGACAACTAAATTGATTCCTGTTTTGCAGGGGGTTGGATTGGATGACCACTGGAGTCCCCTCAAACTCTACAGTTCTATGATTCTAAGGCAGGAGTGGGAGATAAGCTGGGCTGCCTTCTCTTCCCTCCCTACCCCCTTGCAGGAATCTTGCGTGTATCTCAGTCATGTGACAAAAAGAAAATCAGCAGGTCAGCTCTCCTCATCATGATCTCTGTGTGAGGAAAATATTGGAAACCAAGCCTTATGAGGAACGGTTGAAGGAGCTGCATACATTTAGCCTCGAAAGAAGGGGACTGACAGGATAGCCATCTTCAGATATTTCAAGGACTGTCACATGGAAGAGAGAACAAGCTTGTTCTCTCCTGCTGTAAAGGGTAGGGCTGGATGTAGACGCGTCAAAGAAGCGATTCAGTTAAACGCGTTGCAAACTCATACAGTGAAATCCGGTAGGGAAAGGCGGGACTCCATCTGGTACCACAGTGTTATATATCACATATAAAGATACAGTGGTGCCTCGCAAGATGAACTTAATTCGTTCCGCGAGTTTTTTCGTCTTGCGATTTTTTCGTCTTGCGAAGCACGGTTTCGGAAAAGTTTTGGAAAAGCTTCAAAACTCACCAAAGTCTTCAAAAACCTCAAAAAAGGCGTGCTATGAGTTGCTCCTCGAAGTCAAGTCGCAACTGTATTAACGGTTTTAAGAAAAAGGAAACAAACTTGCAAGACGTTTCCGTCTTGCGAAGCAAGCCCATAGGGAAATTCGTCTTGCGCAGCAACTCAAAAAACCAAAAACCCTTTCGTCTTGCGAGTTTTCCGTCTTGCAAAGCATTCGTCTTGCGAGGTACCACTGTAAAGGGACCATTAGGTCCAGTCGTGACCGACTCAGGGGTTGTGGCGCTCCTCTTGCTTTATTGGCTGAGGGAGCCAGTGTACATACAACACCTATAAAACGCTTTTTCTTTACCAATCTAGCTGAGTCTCGTAGGACTTGAACCAATGGCTTCAAATTACAAGAAAGGAGATTCTGACTAAACATACAGAAAAAGCTTTCTGACAGAGCTGTTCTGCATTCCGCTTTAGGCAATGTCCTCAGGGCCGGATTTAGGTTTGATGAGGCCCTAAGCTGCTGAAGGTAATGGGGCCCTTTATATGCCCAGCTGTCTTTTTGACAACAACAAATGGTTGCTGGTTTTGTTGTTGTTGTTGAACATATGCTATATGGTAACTTATGGACCTAACAGGTCTCTAAATCCATTTACACATAACAAAATACGTATTTTATCAAAGTAATTGTTGATACAATTAAGAAGAAGTTTATCTTATATTTTGGAAATGTACATCCAGTTTTTCTTCCTTTAATTTTTTTTTTTGGGGGGGGCTCCAGGAGAGTGGGGCCCTAAGCTAGAGTTAAAACTTTTTAAGCCAGACTTAAAACTTTACTACGAATCAGCAGCCTTTTGCTGGTTGAAAGAGTGGCTGCTTCTTGACAACACTGACATCTTAGATTTAGAAGGTTTTAACAATATGTTTGGGTGGCATGCATACCTATGGTACGACAAGGTTAAAGCTCATAAAGGGTTTAAAAATCATATTGTCAGGAAAGCACTATATAATGTCTGGACTAGATACAAAGATTTGCTGGAAAGTAAAACTCCAAGGTGGTTGTCACCAATGGAGGCAAAGGCCATTAAAAAACTCAATATGGAGGCCAAATGGCCGAGATATGGAGAAATTCTGGAACAAGAAGGGGACAGATGGAAATTGCAAAGTTTTGAAAAACTAAAAGGGAAAGTGAGAGATTGGCTTCATTATCACCAAATAATGGAAGTGTTTAAAACAGACAGGAAAATTGGCTTCCAGGTGGAAAAAATCAAAATTAGAGACTGAATTGTTAGAATCCAGGACTAAGAATTTGTCAAGAATGTACAGCTTGCTGTTGGAATGGAATACACAAGATGAAGTGGTTAAGTCTGCAATGATTAAGTGGGCACAGGACATTGGTCATAATATTTTGTTTGCTGACTGGGAAAGGTTGTGGACCACAGGTATGAAATTTACGGCGTGTAATGCCTTAAGAGAGAATATTATGAAAATGATATACAGGTGGTACATGACCCCAGTCAAGCTCGCAAAAATTTACCACTTGCCCGATAATAAATGTTGGAAATGTAAAGAAATTGAAGGAACATTCTTTCACCTTTGGTGGACGTGCCCAAAGATCAAGGCTTTCTGGGAAATGATTTATAACGAATTGAAAAAGGTACTTAGGTACACTTTCCCTAAGAAACCAGAGGCCTTCCTCTTGGGCATAGTTGGCCAATTGGTGTCAAAGAAGGATAGAACATTTTTTATGTATGCCACAACAGCAGCAAGAATACTCATCGCAAAGTACTGGAAGACGCAAGAACTACCCACCGTGGAAGAATGGCAACTGAAGGTGATAGACTACATGGGACTGGCAGAAATGACGAGCAGAATCCGTGACCAGGGAAGAGATACGGCGCAAGAAGATTGGAAAAAAATTAAAGAGTGTTTAAAGAAATATTGTAAAATTAATGAAGGTTAGAATAACGCTGGATTGGAAATTAAGGGGTTAAAAGCGGCAAGGGATAATTTGAAGAAAATAATTGTTATTAAAACTAATTTAAAAGTAAGGGAAGGATTTGCTGACAATTGAATCAGAAATTAGAATACAGAAAGGGAAGGCATGAGGAAGTCGTGAAAGTAAGCTAAAAGAAAGTAAAAATTGAAGTTATACGTGTTTTATTTCCTGTATGTCTTATTATGTCGTTTTCTTTTTCTCTT